GCCACGATCTGGCCACGTGAATAAGTTGAAGTTACATCCTTCTAACAGGAAAAGTAACTTTCGTTATCATGGAATTATAACAAAACCTGCCAATTCAATATAAATGGAAAAAAAATATTATATGGAATTGAACGAAAATGAAAATTTGCTTGATAATTCAACTACGCTTGTTGGAGAACAATAAAAAACACTACACTCAACAAGCCATCAATTAAACTCAACTGCCTAACCTATAACCAAAGTCTCCTTTTAATTTGTTTTTAAAAAAAAGCGCTTGACAAACTTGCTCCGCGTGCCGAAGTTGCCTCGGTCTCCCCTATAAACATGTATGCAGACAAAACTTTCGATTCGAAAATGTATTACGTTTTAACTAATGTTTACAGAGTTTATCGGTAACAAATGTCTTATTTAGTAATTTTTAAAAATGCATTTTTAAACTGTAATGCAAATGCTGTTCTTCATTTACTGTAACGTATAGAAAGTGAATGTAACTGTTTTCAAACTCACAAGTGCCAACCGTATATGATTCACAATTTTACAAATTTTCGTAACGTGTTTATCCTGGAATATCAATTATTCTCTGAAAAACAATTTTTCCTAAAATAATTATTTTCTTCATATTGTTCACAGATGTCATCATAAGATGTCCATATATAGCTTTGTTGTAATGCTTTTATTACTAGTGCAGTCAAATTCATAATGGTTAATTATTATCGTCTTATTGTCTTTTAGTTTCGTAATATATATTTTGTCTACTTGGACACTAATTATTAATAGGACAAGCATATTGATTTTTTAAAGTTTTTACGCAAGAATTTAGTAAAAAGTTCTTTAAAAAACAGACGTTTTTTATTGAGCTACCTGTAAATCAATAAAGAATGTCTATTCTCTTTAAGAACTTCTTACTCAATTCTTGCGTAAAAACTTAAAAAAAATCAGTATAATTGACAAGTAGACAAGTAGACAAAATATATATTAATTATAATGGTTAATTTTATTCTGAACTTCATACTGTTTAAATTCATGTTTTGTTAAAATAAATTATAGTGTTTTCATTACTGTAGAAAAGGATTTATAAAACGAAAACTAGTAAAAAAAATAATCAGGTATTCACCTTCTTTAACACTAAAATTTTACTCGCAGAATTTAGAAATTGTATTTGATGCGTAACGAGAATGCAAATCTTGTCTTTCAGATATTCCATTATACATCTGAAAATAAACAAAGAATTGGAATATATTAAAATATTCAAAAAATATTATTTAAATATTTACTTTTCGAATATATGTTTTGCTACTGGAACATCAACGGCACTCAGTGGATCATCCAGAAGGAAAATAACGGCATCCACATATAGCGCTCTGGAAAATATAATAATATAAAATTACCCTTAATTTAAACGCAAAAAAAATATCACATAAGCATTACATCGAATTTACGATTAATTTTACAGAATATCCATCCTAAGTGTTTTCTAATCTTTACATTTACTTTCGTTTTTCGTGAAACTATGTAAGAGTAATGTGAAAATTTACTGTTTTCCTAACAAACTAATAGAGTCATTTTTGTTCCATATTAAATGAAATTTTCCATGTGGTATTTTATCAGATAAAAGAGGACGTCAGAATCACATAGGAGAAGAAACACGATGCCCCTGCTACAAGGTGTTAAAGTAAGAAATCAGAGATATCATTATCTCACAAAAAATTTGTATTTATTTTTAATTTTACATTGTTTACAGTTCTCATAAGGCCCTGCTCTGTAACGAAGACAGGAATGTACAGTACCTCAAAAAATTAAAAAATACATTCCTAAGCAGTGAAACGAAGTACCGCAATGAAAGAAAAATTCTAAGCTGAGTTTAAAGCATCATAACTTTTGAATCCGATATAGAATATAAGGATTACGAACATTCGTGAATGAGTTCGGCAAAAATGTACCAAAATAAAGCGAATCACTCTAAAAGAATGGTGGTAAGCATTTTAAGGGTAGACAATAGCAAATCAATTGTATATCATTTTTTGTTGTTTTAAATATCAGTATAGATAAAGGACGAATAGGAAGTAAACAATATTGACTTCCTACTCGTGCTAGAGTAAAATAAAAATGGATGCGTATAATTTTTCACAAATTAGAAAAAGGTCAATTATTTTAATATTGGCCCTATAGGGAATATTGCTGGAACCCAGGTCATTTAAGCTATGAAAACTCGGAAATTTCATCGCTTAGATGACCTGGGTTCCAGCAATATTTTTTGGTGAAATTCGCCGGGTAGAAAAAAGTCAGGATGAACGATTTCTGGCGAAGTTTGAAAATGCAACCGCCTAAACTCTCTGTAGCGTGGCGCTAGACGGCGGAAAGTATATATATAGTTATAATAAAATTAAAATAAATTAAGTTAATATATAATTATATATACAGTACCTAATTTATATATAATTATATGTACAGACGAAACTAAACTCAATTTAACCGCCTAAACTGTGCGTAGCGTGGCGCTAGACGGCGGGAAAGTAGTTCGGCTGCCCGATGACGTTTTACGTAATTATAAGAGGATTTTTTACCGTTGTGTACGGATACCGCCACAATTTTTTCGCCGTCTTATAGGAACTGTAATTATAGGAACTCGTCTTATAGGGGTTCCACTGTATTAAAAATACGTTTAAAAAAACATTAATTGATTGCTCCTGGAAGTCGGCTTCTTATAAAAACACAGCTTCCTTATCATGAAATGTCACGGCACGCTACAGGGGTA